AAACTATTCAATGCTTGACAATTTTAGTATCTATGTAGATGATCCTTCTCAAACCCTAGCCTCTGAGTCCTTGAGAATTTTTCCTCCAATGATCTTGCCCTCCACCTTTTTACAGCCACTCATCCCATACCCTAGTCAGAACCTTGTCATTACTAAGAACAGCTTTGCCCTTCATAATATCAGTGCCATGCATCCCGCGCTCTTACAACCCCTCTCATCTCTCTAGCTCTTCCTCCCATTAACCCAATACCTTTCAACCCCTTTGGGACCTCCAGTCACCGGATCCTATCAGTTGCCACTCTTCTTCGCCCCTGTGATGGCCTCACTCCCCTCTTCACCAAGCTTAAATCACATGATCAATTGTTATACTTACGCCCCCTCATGAACCTTTGATTCCCTCTCTTCCCAATTCTTTGGCAAAATCAGAACTCCGACTAAATCTAACCCTCCATTATTCATGTAGCTGAACAAGGTTAAAGAAAAACACACAACCATGGTGACTGATCCTACCTTAATTTCATGACCATAATTCTCAAATGGTACTTGAATGTGGACTGGCAATCATATTTCTTACGTCCGTACCACCATGCCATCATGCCCTCTCCTTCCCACTCCCACTCTGACCCTCTTGCTCCTCCCCCTTCCCTACCTATCAGCTTGGCCCCATTCTCATTCTCAGTGATGACCTTGCTTCCCACATTACAGTTAAAACTGACATAGTAGGAAAAGAACTTCCTGGACCCTCATCACACTGCCAATAGTCACATATTCTCCCTTCCCATCTGCTATCACAGATAAAATATTCATGATTCTATTGTGCATAGCTCTCATCTCTCTCACTGATGTCCCCATCACCATTTCTCCCCTCTGTCAAACATCATGAATTATTGCTGGAGGTTTGCTATTTCAAAAGAAACTCTCTTGACCTTACTTTTCTTTCAGTTGCTGCCCCCCTATTTCTTCACTAAGCCTTCACAGCAAAACTGCTTTTAAAAACTTTTCAACGTTTACAGTATCCAACTTATATCCTTCCATTCTGTCAATCCCTCTTGAATTTGGCATTTCATTTCCATCACTTTACCAAAATTGCTCTTATCAAAATCACCATCGATTGCCACTTTAATAAAATCAATGGCCAAATCTTGGTCTTCATCTTACTCGACTTTTAGCAACAATGAACCTATATAATCACTTCTCTCTTCTTGATAAACTTTTCTGGCTTAACTTCCAAGACATGTAGTTTCTAGTTTCTTTATATCCTTGCTCGTCATTCTTTCTTAGTTGTCTTTGCTGGTGGTTCATGTTCTCCGCTTGCCTTTATTATCCAAGTGCCCCAGATTTCAGCCCTTAACCCTCTCCTGTTTTCCATTACTACTTCTTCCTTTTGCCATCTTTTTTTCATCTTATGGCTTTAAAGACCATTCATATGTTGACAACAGTTGATTTTATATCTCCTCCCCAGACCAAACTCTCAAACTCCAGATGTGTTTATCCCACCACACACATGATCTCACCGAGTTTCAATATTGTTGTGTCAATAATCAAACTTCTGATCTTGGTCCCACAATTCCTCCAACTGCCAGACTCAATGACCTTTGGCCCATCCACTATCCTCTGACCTGTCTACTGGCTATCACTCTGCTGGGACGAACTTGCTCAGGTACATACCATAAAATCTACCAAATCTGTTTCGCATGCAGCCTTCTCTATCTCAGTTGATACTAATCCAGTTTACATAGGCCAAAACCCTTGGAGTCATCCTGAGCTCTCCTTTCTGTCTTACCCCATATCCAATCCACTGGGAAATCCTGTTGGGCCAACTTTGAATAACTTCCAGAATCCAAATTCTCACCACTACTTCTGCCACCCCTGGTCAGAGCTACCATCATCTCTCAACTGGACTGCTATGATGACCTCTTTTCTTATCTTCCTCCCTTCACCCACTCCTTCTAGAATCTATTCTCAAATGATAGCCAAAGTGATACTGGGATTCAGATCATTGGATTCTTCTGCTCAAAAATCTGTAAGGTTTTCGTGCAGGGCTCAGTCTTTACTATGACCTACGAGCCTCTGCCACATTTAGTTCCTCTGATCTAAGCCAATGTTTCCTCCTGACTCCACTGCACACTCAGGGACCTCTGTGCTGTTCCTCAAATTGCCAGACTCATTCCTATCCTCTGGCCTGTCGACTGGCTGTCACTCTGCTGGGGTGTATACAGCTACACGGCTCTTTCAGCTCCTTCTAGTCTTTGATCACAGATCTCCTCCACAATATTGCCTAACCAATCACCTTATATAAAATTGCAATGTGCAATCCTACCACCTGATTCCCCTACTTTTTCTTTTATCCATAATGTTTATCCTCTTCCTAAACACTATATAATTTATTTATTCTGTTGATGTATTGTCTGTCTCCCCAAGGTAGAAAGTGAACTCTCTGAGGGCAGGGGTCTTTGTATGTTTCATTCACTGATGTATCCCAGGTACTTAAAGAGTGCCTGGTAACCCTATAGGCCCTCAACAAATAATTGTTGAAAGAAAGACAGGCAGAGCAATTAGAACATTCTTGTAATTTATCAAGGATATCCCAACACAGGTGGAAAATTTTTTTTAAAAAGAAAGCTATGCTATAGTCTGAAAACAGCTAATGAAGTTGTAGTTCAGTCCTACTCTACAGATATTTATTGGAGGTACAAATATAAATAATCCAGAATCCCTGCCTCTGAAGGCTTTACAGTAGAGAGAATGACAGTAATTTCAAAATGTTAAAAGATAACTGGAACAAAACCAGGGCATCCTAGAGAGAACAGCATGAGCAAAGGTTGGGAGACGTGAAACTGTATCCCGTGTTTGGACAGCTGGAAGCAAGTCGATCTGCTTAGAGGTGATGGTCCAGTTGATACGCTAACTTGGCTAGACTACAGCCCCCAGCTATGCAATGAACACTAATCCAGGTGTTGCTGTGAAGGTAGTTTTGTAGATATGATTAATGTCCCTAATCAGTTGACTTTAAGTAAGGAAGATTAAAATATATAATGCGTAAACATAAAATCTAATCTTAGATTATCTGAGATGAACTGACTCAATTAGTTGAAAGGCCTTAATAAAGCTGAGCTGAGGCGTCCCTGAAGAAGAAATTCCACCTGTGGATAGTAACGAGCCTGTCCTTCCTGATGGCCTGATCTATGGATTTCAGACTTGCCTGGACGGCCCTCATAATCACGGAAGCCAATCCTTCTAGGCAACTTCGACGTGTGTACTTTCTACTGGTTCTGCTCTTCTGACTGGAGCCTGATTGATACACTAGAATATAAACTTTAAGTCAGAGGGGGCACAAAATGAAGAATGAGAAGGAGTAAAGGTTAAATAATGAAGGGCATTTTTAGTCAGTATACTAAGAAGTTTGACCTTTATAATCAATAGGACAAGCAAGGTTAATGGCATGATTAGGGACAGAGATCAATCATTCTGGATTTGGTATAAAGGACGTACCAGGACAGGAGGTAAAAGGAAGAGAGAGGCACTGGACATTGGGAAACCATCAAAGTCACCTATGAGAGAAGGGGAGAACCAAGAAAGACTATTAGGGACGCCAGGGAACAGTGTTTTGGGGAAGAAATGGCAATCCACCATGGTCTGGTACATCAGGAGAGTCTGCCACTCACCATGCTGTGATTAAAGCAGGTCACTAAGGGCCGTAGACTAGCGGGAATGGAGGGAAGAGCTAGGAACCAGATCATGTCAGGTTGCAGAGTGCTGGTAAGTGAGAGAAAAAGAGGAAACAGGGTGCATTAGTCTTTCCAAAGTTTGTTTAGAAGGAAGGAGGAAGTCGTAGAAGAGAGAAAGGATAGTGTCAAATGAAGATGCTTAGAATGGGAGAAACCCAGGCCTTCCTGATAGGCTGAGGGGGAGGAGCCAGCTGTAAGGAAGGGGGGAGGTGGTAAGAAGCAGGGCACACATTCTCCTGAGCAAGGTTTACAAGAGGAAGGGGGCCAAGACCACAGGTGAACACTTGGTCTAGGACAATGGGAGGGCTCTCGTCTTCTGAAAACTGGAGGATAGAGGAAAAGGATGGAAGTGAACAGATGCATTTGGAGATGCAGGGTAAAGGATCTGCAGTAATTCATGCCCTAGGATGCCTTGGTGCAGTTAGGAAGTAAGATTATTGGCTGAGAGAGAAGATGGTGTGACGCAGCTAGAGATGGAGGCTTGGCTTTAGTTGGGGCTGGGTGGCCGGCCACCTGCCAGGACATGACACAGAGGAATCCAAACCAGGTGAGAGTTGTGCTAAATGACTTCCAAATTCCCTCACAGGTCAGTGTTTATGAGTCAGACAGACTGGAATGCTGCCTTGTTCAGTGAGGCCTCCTCAGCACCCAAAACAATGCCTAACAGATAGCAGGCATTCAATAAATTTGTTGAATGAATGAACACTTAAATGAGCTTCTCATCCAAACAAGCAAATAAAATCTAATTTGGAATTATCTGCTTTAATATAAACACATCTGAAGATTTTTAAGAGATCATAGATGCTTTCTAGAGCTTTGAAACTTAATAAAACTCTAGTCTTCTCCCCTAATATCCAGAGGTTGTAGGCAAGACAGATAACTTAGGCTTGAAAGTGGGCATTTTTAGCCTGAGTTTTCCCCTGGGCTATCTTCAAGCAAATTATCAACAAAATGGCCAAATCTCTATTTGGTTTTATTATACCATAAGCTTTTTTTGAACTGAGTGAGAGTGTTTTCACTTGGATTTTCATTTAAATTCTATCACTGCAGGTGGAATGAAGTCTTAACCTTTTCTGATACATCCAGCTCTCTCTTCTCTTATTGCTCTTGGTGACATTTACCACCGAGTAAAGTGAAGATGAAAAACAAAAACAAGATTTTTTTGAAAAGCAAGGTTAATTAGGAGTATGGCATACTTAGATTTAAAAATATAATGCAGGAGGCACTAGGTTGCTTCTACAACGGGTCCCTGTTGAACTCCCCATGCGTTACCTGGATGGAAGACTTTGGTTTTCCCATTAGTGATTCCAGAAGAGCTTGCCTCCATTTTTATTGACCTTCTGCCTGGTGGGAGTGAGGAATGCCTGACCACAGGCAGGCGACGTGACCCTGGGCGGCTTGCCACACTTCGCCGTTGATGGATTTGCAAACGCTTTTCAGCCCCATGAATAGATAAACTTAAACCTGGAATGAGAAATAGCACCATTATGTTGAAGAAATCTGTTCAGCAGGGCTAAAATGTCAAGTTATTTTCTGGCATGAAATCCAGAGAGCAATTGCCACTATGTTTCAAATTCTTAAGGGACAGTAGTGATGCTAGAACTGTGGTTCTAATTGTTTTTCACATTGTACTATTCACTGAACATTATTTCACTCAAAAGTAGACATGTTCAGTTATCATAACTAGAGTTTTATGAATGGGGATCCAATAAAGTCAAATATTAAAATTCCTTCCAAACTCTTGGAAAAAGATGCACACATGTGTCATACTGTCAGGGGCTATGAGAAGTAGGAACTAGGGCTGGGGTATCTGGATGTTCAGTAAAGATCAAGGAGCTTTCTCTATGGCATTCATGCATAGGCTAGAGGTGAGGCTTGAACTCAAGATTTATACTTCTGGTCACCTTAGAATTATGTGCATTTTTAGAGCTCTTTTATCTTGGAAATTTTAAACATACCAAAAGCAAAAATAAGAGCGTAATAAAATCCATGTACCCACTACTCAGCTTCAATAAGTATTTTTCCATAAAACCTAAAAAAAATTTTTTCCCAATCTTTATCCTTCAATATTCCCTTTTTTGTTCGTTTGCTTTTTAGGTGTTGGAGTAAAGCATATCCCAGATATTATGTCAATTTCATCAAAAACAATATGGACTGCACTGACTGAAATTGATTATATCCATATCGATTATACCTACTGATACATATCAACCATATAAAAATAAATGAGTTCAAAAGAGATTTTTTTTAAAAACACTTATTGATCATAAGTGATGACTGCTAAGATACCAATTCATTACTCAGAAAACTGATAAAGGGAAAGAAGTAAGCATTTATCCTGCTTTTCCTTTCTTATCATATTTTAAAGCAACCAAATAATTGATGAGAGAGTTCTTCATTACAGAAGAATTCCAGCTAATAAATTACTGATGGAAAAGAGAATTAGAAAATCATTTTAGAAGCCTCAGTGAAGCCTGAACGGTGGTGCTCTTTGTCTAAAGAAGCACTGCAAGGACAGGGCTGGAATTCAAACTGAGCGATGGCTGAATCCAGATCTGTTCTTTTGAAAGAGTGAAAGAAAGATGTTAGCTTCATTTAATGCCAACCAGCCAGGGGACTTGGTCAGGAATCATGCCATCTAAGAGAGGAAAGCTAACCTTCATGAAATCAGAGAATTTTTTATTAAGAGGAAAATCTCTTGAAACTTGAAGGTAGACATTTAGAGTTGGAAGTTACCTGAGTGGTTAGCTCATTAATCTGATGCCTTATGCAGATGAGAAAACTATGCCTGGCAGGCAAAACAATCAGTTTACATATCAAGTATCTACTGGAAGGCTGCAGAGAGTAATCTACTAAAAAACCAGAAATAAGGGAAATGAAAAGTCTGCTCAGAGGTAAACTGTTAATCAGCAAGCATTGGTCATGTCAGAGGTATCAAGAGTTACCTTAATTTCCCCAACTTGAAAAAAAGAATGTGACCTGGGCCAATGTGTAGATGCTAATGAA